ATTAATGTGCTATTTTCCTTTTGGGTCCCAGGGATTGTGGCAAGTACAGGGGATATTTTGATGACTATGATATGATTTTTGTTTTTTGAAAAGTGTGCAGGTGCTGATAGAAATAGGCATGGAAGTGGAAAATATGAACGCCATGTGCAGTGTGTAGTTACAGAACTGTGCTTATGGAGATAAAGCATCAAGAAAAGAGTTCTTCACCCAGATTTGGACTTGAGGGATGGAGATGCTGCCTGGGCCAAGTCTTGAAGGGCAAGCAGAAATTAGACCAAGAAGGGTACTGAAAGAAAGAATGGTATTTCATATAGAGAGAAGCCCTGAAAAAAAAAATAAAAAAGAGGCATGAAACCACAGGTTGTGTTTGGGAGAAAACATAAGCATTTCAGTATTACTAGAGAAAAAATGAGCATGTAGGAAGTAGCAACAAATGCAGCTGAAGAGAGGTGTGTGTGGTGGATGCATGAGGGAGGATGGAGGGACTCATATATACTGATCAAGAGCCTATGTATCTTGTAGGTGACAGAAGACTTTGCAGTGTTCATGTAGAAGAATAGTGCATTTGGTTGAGAGAAAGAGTGTTGTGACTGTAGTGTAGAAAAGGCACGAAAAAACAATTTGGTGGCAGGGCTGTGGCAACGTTTCTTGGAGAGAGGTGAGGAAGGTCTGAACCCCAAAATGGCTCTAGGGAGCTACACCTAGAATGCTGTCTTCCACAGATACAGTATATCTTTGTTGAATGAGTGATTTTTTTAAATTAAAGTTAAACCAGTTTTTCTTTTTAATTTTTTAAAAATTAAAAAAAAATTTATATTGGAGTATGGTTGATTAACAATGTTGTGCTAGTTTCAGGTGTACAGAAAAGTGATTCAGTTATACGTGTACATATATCCACTCAATTTTAGATTCTTTTCCCATATAGGTCATTACAGAATATTGAGTAGAGCTCCCTGTGCTATACAGTAGGTCTTTGTTAACCAGTTTGTCTTATACCATGAAAATTATTACACTGAGACAATATTTTATTACCACCAGAGTAGGCTTTTCAATTTACTCTAATTACCTAATATAAAAATTGATTCTCAGGAGGGCAAATAAAAAATTTACTCTTTTTATGTAAAAAGCACAGGTATATACAAACAACTTATAAGCGTATTTAGAGTCTATCTGTGGTATTAAAATTTTATTGAGAAGGAGGGTGAGGAGGGAAAAAATATTTTAAAAGGCTCCATAAGGGGGGAATAATTTTAAAAGTTTAAGAAATGCCACTCTAAATAATCATCATAACTTCAGTAGCATTTGCTAGTTTTAATCCAGTATACTGAGTCTTTTTGTTTAACATAATTCTACTTAAGTCTGTCTGAGTATTTCATATTCAGCTTGGTGTTATTGCTTGTTTTGTCTTTGGTATCATACTGACTTTATAAAACTATATCTGAACAGAAAAAGAGAAATATTCCCATGACTCAGAGAAACAGCATTTAAATGTAAAACTCCTATTTCACCTGAGGCCTAAAAGCTATTCCAAGATGATATTTCATCAATCCTCAAAGCAATCTATTTTATAGAGAAACAGAGAAGGGCACTCATATTCTCCTAACATAGCTCCATGGAGATAACGATTAGTTGTTCTAAATACAGGCCCAGGAATTTCAGTCTTAGAGCAGTAGTGGGTATCTGAGTATCTCTTTCTGTGATGGTCATGGTTCTAAAATGGGGGTTCTGTTGCTCAGGAGCCTCCCAAAACCTAGTACCCTAGGGATCTGGTAAGCCAGCTACTTGGTTAAACTTAATACATCAGCATCACGCTTCTCTACCCCACCTCTCACGTCTCAAAGTGAGTATATCTGCTAGAGAACTATTCTTCCCAGGAAATGCACTCGTTCTGATACTTTTTCCAAAGAGTGTCTGCTTTTTCTAAAATGCCAAGGTGATACTATATTCACAACAGAGATATAACCATCTGCCCTAGCAAGTGCAGAAGAGAAAGTAATGGAATTCAAACCCAAGTGGCTGCACACACATTGCCACGGCATCTGTCTTTCTAACGAACTTGAATACACTTGAGTCTGTGCTCTAGGGATCCAGATTTTTCATTTCAAGATAGAATTCTCTTCTGAAGCTGTTGTTGTGAAGACAAAATTTCTCCACCTGCCAGTCTATTTTCTGAAGGCAATGGACCTTTTATTTATTTATTTATTTATTTTTGGTAATGGACCTTTTAAATCAATGTTATGCTCTTTTAGAAGCACTTGTATCCTCCTCTATCTGTATGCTGAAAAATGTGGATCTGAATTTTTAAGGTATTACCCACAGGATGAATGTAGTCCAAGGCAGTTGATTCAGTTTTGCCTGGATGGGTCAAGTTTGACTAGATACACTTTCTGAGGTCTGGAGAAAGACACACATATTACATTCTATGCTTCAACCTCACAAACCAAAAGAAGCATGGATTTCTTTTCTCCTTTATTTTCATGACACTACCTGCTCCTAATTTTCATCTTACTTCTATGCCTACTTCTCTCTTTTTTTAATTGAATCAACTTTTCTGCCCATGTTGTTGATTTTCAAATTTTCTCTTCTTGTCCTTCTTTATACTGTCTTCCCAGGTCATTTTATCCACTCTCATAGCTCTAACTATTCTTTCTATGTGATGACTCTTGACCAGCTCTATGTCCTGAATATCAGAACTGTACTTAACTGTGAATTAAGATCTCAACTCATATGTCCCAAAGTCACCTCAAAGTCAACATGTCTCAGATTGAACTTAGCACATCCACTGGAAAGCCTTCAGTGCTGTCTTTCCAAGATTAGCGAATGATGCTCACCTGCCAGAATACCGCTAGAAATCTAGGCATCATCATGGCTTCTTTCTCCCTCTCCATCTACATCCAATCCCACACCAGTCAAATGTTGTCATTTTATCTCCTCAGTTCCTTTCAAATATATCTATTGTGGCCACTGAGATGTAAGCTACCATTATCTCTGGTCTGGCTTCCTTCCATAGCTCCCTAATTGTTAGCCCTGATCCCAGTCTTACTTTCTTCCATTCATTTGTTCACAATGAAGGCAGACCACTCTCTCTGAATCAAAAGTCTAAGCATATTATTTCCCTGGTTAACAGCTTTCAGTTGGTCTACATTTCTGAAAGCCCTCTATCATCCGGTTCCTTCTTATTTCTCCAACATTTTTAAGACTTCCTTAAATTTTGTAACTTCTCTGAGATTCTTAATCTCATCATTGTCTCTCTACCCACTCACTTCTCTCTCTCCCTCCATCTCACCCAGGAAATTAATGTCCACATGTATTTCCTCACTCTTTCATTGTTATTGCACTACCATCTCTCAGACCTCAGTTCATTTATCCCTTTTTCATGTCAACCTCCCTTCCTGCTCCCTTAGGTCATAGTGGTTTCTCTTCAATATGCTGTCATAGGATATTGCATCTTTCCTAACATCTCCTGGATCTGTCTGCACGCCCTACTCCTAAGCATGCCCTATTCCTGTCAATGAATGAAGGAATGCTATTTCTTCTGTCTGAAAATGCACTGCATCACCCTGTTCCCACCTTTACCCAGCTAAATCTTCCTAATCCCTCAACATTCAGGGAGCACTCTTCTGAAAAGTTTTTCCTGACTTTGCAAGCTAGGCTAGGTGGCTCTCCACTATGCTGTCATGGTAATGAATCATCTTTTATAATTAAGTCAGATCATAACACTCTTCTGCTCAAGGTCCTCCAAAGACTCCCCATTTCGCTCAGAGTAAACCTCAAAACCCTTATAATAGTCTACAGTGCTCTACAGCATCTGCCTCCCTTTCCTTATTATTTCTCTAACTTCATCTTTTAATACTTTCTTCTTTCTTTTGCCACATTTAGGCATGCTACCATTTCAGGGCCATGGCAGGAACTGAAACGCTTTCCCTAGCTTTCTATATGACAACTCCCTTGTCTTCTTCAAACCCTCGCACAAATGTCCTCTTGTCAATGGACCTGCGTAAGCACCTATTTTAAGTTGCAATCTGCTCCACACCTCTCTGTCTATGCACTCCAAATCCTCCTTTTTTGCTGCGTTTTAATAGCACTTATTCCTTCCTATCAAATGATATAATTAATTTATGATTATTAGTCATCGTTTGTCTTTCCTTATTAGACTGTAAGCTCCACACAGGTGGATATTTGTATCTGCTTTGTTCACTCAAGTATTCCAAGTGCCTTCAAGGGTGTCTGGAACAGAAGAGGTGATCAGTAAATATGGTTAAAGGATGAGCATTGATTGTGCTATACAGTATTAAAATTTTCTTCCTTGTCCACCTGCCCACCACCAAACCATGCACTTGTCAAATGCAGGGAGTTTTGCCCTTAAATCTATTTACAATATCCAGCATATTTGCTGAAAATAGTGGGTTCATAATAAATGTTTGCTAAGTGCATTTATGCATCTCTGACCTCACTACCCCATAGCTTTGCAGGGTTTGCAATCACACTATACCAAACTAGAATATGAGTGCAAGAATGTTGTTTCCTTAGTGGAGAAGCTTCTCTATAAATTCTCATGGCATCTGAGATCTCCAAAGATGGAGTCCAATGTGGACCAAGGTAGTGAATATAGCCAAGCCATCCTTCCATATCCTAGGGTTCCGTATGCATAAAGTTGATCCCGGGTTGGTTGAATTCACGGATGCAGAAACCGCGGATGAGAAAGGATGACTTTACTACTTCATTTTATATAAGACACTTGAACATCCACAGACTTTGGTATCTGTGGGGATTCCTGGAACCAATCCCTCATGGATTCCAGCGATGGCTGTATTTCTCCTGCAGAGTCACTTCAGAGGTTAAGAATTTGCCATCGTCCATTTAGCTTTTTTCTCCATCCTGTGTCTGTAATAGGGGCATTTATTTTAATAAGTTAAAAAACTAAAGGAAGTCCTGGGAATCATGAGCTCAAAAAATAATATCTTTCCTTCTGTGACTTCTGTTTTTTCTTCTTTTCTCAGAGCTCTTCCTGCCATGATGCAGTGGGTCCGCACGCAGAAGCCAGGAGAGAGTGGCATCAATATTGTCACTGCCGATTTCGTAGAACTTGGTGATTTCATCAGCACTGTCATAAAGCTCAACTATGTCTTTGATGAAGGGGAAGCCAACACTTGATAGTACCATTTGGAGTGCCAGTGAATAAGATAGAGAAAACTCACTGTATTAGGCATATTATCTATAAACACTCTGATCTTCCTATTCCACTGAGTCTCTGAGGGAATAAGGGCTGAAAGTGGGTGGGAAAAGGGGGAAACCATTTCTTCAGTGATTATTATCATACTCTACATTACTATAAATATTTCATTTCCCATTTGATGAGCAAAACCTACTTCTAGTGTTAGGAATAAAAAAAGACTAGTACATTTCGTTTCTCAGAATTAGTTTTTGTAACTTATGGGTGTTTACTTGATTGTGTTTCTGATTTCAACCTAGGGCTCCTACACTGTGTATCCTCTAAATGAACCTTTCTGCTCCCTCTCTAGCTCGCTCTTTTTAATCAGCTGTTGTATGGGACTTAAAAATAATTAAATGCCCAACATAACGTGTATTATCAATACATTGTTGTGCTGAAATGTACTTGTTTTGTGGGACCTGGTATAATATTCTGTAGTCCGCAATCTCACTAACTTTGGGTCATAAACAATATGCATCTAATCTGTTTCCCTGCATAAGTAATATTGGTGGCCATAATCAGTAATTTTTGTGTTATATAAAAACAATAGTGTTTCACAGTATTTCTATTTAAGGCAGCTATAAATATAGAGTAAAAACTTTTGTGGAAGAACTATTAGTGCCAACTCCATAGTGAAAAATGGGGGTGGGGGAAGAGATGGATATCATTTTAATTCAGAAATCTCTTAACTAATATTGTCCTACAAATGCTCAGTAAATGAAAAATTATGACAAGAGTTGTTAAAATCAGAAAACTCTGAAAAGAACTCTTACAAAAGTTCTTCTAATAATTATCTTGACTGAAAAAATAAAAAGAAGAAAAGAAAGAAATGAAAGATTGAGCAAGCTTTCCTAACAAATTGAGATTTCCAAATATGTCATTCTAAATCCCAGATTTTGAGGAATATATTCTGAGAAGGTTCAATGTGAGTTTTTTTACTTGAAGTTGAGGAAAATGGAAGGGTGGCAGAGTGAATTAGAGCAATGTTTTTGAAACTATGACCGTGAACTCTCAAGGATCGGTGAAACATTTTTAGGAGATTCTTAAATACATGTGATTTGGGCAGACTTATTGAAAATCACTTCTGTGTCCCACCCCAGGGTCAAGTTTGAGGCAGAGGCCAAAGTTTCACAGAAAGTTTCTGCCATCCACCATTTGATAGTCCAGGTGTATGAGGAAGAAAAATGGTAATGCAACTTTGAGCACTGCTTCTGCCTTGGTGTCTTTGTGATGCTTGACAGCTCTAAACAATCGTAAAAGAGCATGATAGCCCTTACCAATATGCCTCACAGGAATATTGTGAGGCATTTATAAAAATCTATAAAATTTGCTGAATTTGTACAATTCTGAATTATTTTATCTTCATGTTTAGAAATAATCTCACCTCAATAGTTTCCTGGGAAAACACAGTCCATGTAAAATGGGGCCATAGAGAAATAAAAGCATGCTCTCAGCTTTCAGTTAATTTAGATGTATGACATGTGGTTTAATCTCTGAGTCCTAAGTAAGGGATTTAATTCCAAGGTTACATACATCAAAATTATAAATAATCAAGAGTTGATTAAAAGATTATAAATACTCACTATGAGAAAATAGTGCTTATTAGCAGCTGTGGGGAAGGAAGAGAAATTGTTTATACTGAAGAGAACATTTATGAAAAGTGTGCAGGTGTGTGTGGTTGACCAAGTAGCATGCATATACACACAACAGATATGATCTCCATTCCAATTGTGTGTATATGTCTCAACAGACAAAATATATCAATATATACCCACTCTTGTGCAGGCAGACAGACACAAATACACACAAACACACACAGTCATGGACAGACACAGTGAAATTCTTCTTTTCAAGTGAAAACTTAGGTAATATTAAGTAATTTAATTTTAGGACCAAAACCCTTAACAATGTATGAAAAAGAGTTGATGAGATTTTTGAAAGTAGAGTAGCTGATCATGTTCAAATATTTTTGTAAAAATCGATATTAATTATCTACAAATATAATTTTCTCTCTGCTTTCCCTCCCCCTTACAGTTTTATTGTCTTTCTATCTCTCTCACCTGCTCTTTATATGCAATTGAATATGAATCCTTTCTAAAGGACTATAGCTTATTGAAATTTATGTCCTGTGAAGTTGTTTTTTGGGGAGGTTTTCTCTGACTATTCATTATTCATCCCTCAGGAGGATCTTTAGCGAAGCACACTTGCAATGACACAAGGATTTAACTTATAAATGTATGAGAAAACAGATCTTTCAACATATTCAATACAAATGAAAAATGAATAAAATATAGAGGTACATATGCTGTGTTTTCTTGAACTTAGATGCTTTCTTATGTTTGCTTAGAATTAGCTTTGTCATATCTGTCATTTGGGTGCTGAAAAAAACAAACATGCTGAAGCATTAGATTAATTTTCCGGTTTCTGAGTTAGAGAAAGCTTTTAATTGCTATTAATGATATGCACATAGAATCCTTGTTTGACAAAAGATACTTCCAAGCCAATGTTTGGTGTCCACGTGGATGTACAGCATCTAAGTAACAGGCACTGGGAGTAAATGGACTTGCCTTAATTTCTAAAGGAGGGAACAGATAGAAGTGAACCATGCATCCTCCACTAGAGGAAGAGTTCACTAGGAGGGATTCCTTTGCAAGGGGAATGGAGAGAAAATGCCTTTGGCTGTCTTCTGCCCATTAGCCCTGCTCTGGGACACACTTAGGGAGCAGGCTGTGGGCCTTAAATAAAGAGGTAGGGGGTGAGGACTAGTGGTATGCAATCAGAGCTTACCATCAGCCTAAGCTCCTTTGTCTTAGCTGGGCATTGAGTTTCCAGAGAGTTAGAGCACAAGGGCTACAAATAGACCCCCAAATGGTAGGAGATACATCTTGGTGCATTTTTTGTTTTGCTTATTTCTTAAGACTTTTCCATCACAAGTCCTGCAAGGCAAAGAAAACAGAAACAAAATCCAACTTTTACCCAATCTACAGCAGGAAATCAAAGAAGTGAGTGGCTGAGATGAGGGAAAATATACAAAGAGTATCATTTTGGGGTTTGCTTTCCTGTCTGTAATTTCGAAGGACGAATATTTAGATACTCCTGCCATTATTCTTATGTCTCCCTTATTACTACACAATCATATGAATGCAGAGAATGAGGAGGCATCTTTTAAAAGCCTTAGGATATTCTATATGATGACCTCAATATTTACTTTCAGCCATACTGGGAAAACTCACGTTTCATGGAGTGCCACCTAACAATGAATGTATTAGAGCATAAAGTATTTGGTATGTATGCACCTGTGTGTGTACACACGTCCTCACACACACATACACACACACACACAGACACACACACACACACACACAACATGCACATCTCACACACTATTCAAGCTGAAACTGCACTCTAATCACTCAACCTGATTCTATTGTCATTTTAACTCTTAAAATTAGTATCTCCTACGTAAGTAGGAACAAACATAATTCAAATATTTAAGAGGAGAAAAATCACTAGAAAACCAATGAAAAATGAGATCTTCATAAATAAGAAATGCCTAGCAGTAATAGTCTAACTACACTGTCAATTACACTTCAAGCTAGAGAATCAAGGATGGACTTAAATATAAATCACAGACAGACATGCATCTTCGCTTAATGTTGTTTTAAGTTCTTTGAGTTCTAACATGTTTTAGCCAAGGTTACCCATTCAGGATCTCCCCTGTTAGGATTCCAGACTGGAAGTTTGGAAGTCTCAGGAAATGTATGTTTTCATGACTTTTTCAGTTCTACAATTTTAATGATCCAATGACACAATCTTCTGACCTTTGGTTGCTTGTCCAAATGAGAGCTCCACAGGTAGAGTGCTCGCTTTTTGAATTGCTAATAGAAAATAATGCGTAGTGTCCCTCAGGATATGCTAAACAAGGTTTTTAAAAGTATTTTATTTTATAGCACTTTAGTTTTTTCAACTAGATTTCAGTGACACAATGGTGTAAATGCTGTATTTGCCATAACTTATTGGTGGCTCCTGTGTTACATACAGTTTCAAATAATGCTCTAAATTATTTGTTTTCCCAATGACAGTGATAAAATGTTCTGTAGAATTTGTAAAACGTGTTGATTAAGTCAGTTGAAAATTGTGCAATTTTTATTTCATTTGTGATACTCTTTTGTAGGTATTAGTCCTAAATGTGTATTTGTATGAGTCAGAAGTATGTGCTTGTATGTGGTATGTGTGTATTAAGTATACTGTATCTTATACAAAATTAAACTTATCCTAAAGAAAAAGGCACATTATGACCAGCCTTAATTCATTGACATTTTTGTTATTGTTTCAATTTGGGATTAAAATTTTAAGAGAAATTATATTTTTGTTAAAAATGGTCTTTTTTTAAAAATCACATGAGAAATGTGCTTTAGCACTCATTTGAGTTCCCACAAGCAAATAGTCCAGCCTGTGGAACACCCAATGCTCTTTAAGTTTCAAACATCAATTAATTTATTAACATCAATAACATGCAAAGAAACTAAATTCAGATTCATTTCCATCAACAACAGAACCAGTGCATTCCTAAAGCTGTTCTTCCAAATATGGAACCCATTTTGCTTAAAGGATAAGTTTTCCATAAAAAACTGTTTCTCCAAACCATTACTTTTTAAAAAATTGGATCTTCTCAAGTGAGATGAACTGCCTTGGCCCTGTGAGAGTCAGTAAAGACCCTTTGCAAAAAAACAGGATGCAACACTCTTAAATTTTTGCTATCTGCCTATATGCAGTTTAGCAATAAAAAACTAAGTACTAATTTGAGGATCTGCACAGGTGGCCATGTTCAAAGCAAAACTCTGTAATCTTCGGGCCTGGGATCTTGGTATGGAATATTAATCAATCTTCTTTCCTCTCTTTCTCCATCTTCAATTATTTTTGTCCCATATTTAAGGTTGCT